ATTCTCTCTTCTGCCTCATTTATTCTAGCAGTTAGAGCCTCCATTTTTTATTGCATGTCATTAATAGCCTTTTTGATTTCGACTTGGTTAGATTTTAGTTCTTTTATTTCTCCAGAAAGGATTTCTCTAGTAACTTTCATGCTTTTTTCAAGCTCAGCTAGTATCTTTAAAATCATCATTCTGAACTCTAGTTCCGACATCTTACTAATGTCCGTACTGATTAGGTCCCTGGCAGTCAATACTGCCTCTTGTTCTTTTTGTTGAGGTGATTTTTTCCATCTCGTCATTTTGTCCAGAGGAGAATAGTAGAATGAGAGAACAAAATACTAACAGGGTAACAATGTCCCCAGAATATATACTCTATAAACAAATCAGAAAAGACCTGCAACGGGGGGAAAGAAAGGGAATGAAGAAAAAAGAAAAAAAGAAAAAGATAAAAACAAACAAAACAAAACAAAACAAAAAACAGAATATGATCAAATATGATCAGGCTGGTGCATAGATCAGTGCCATATACCAGATTTTGGGCTTATTTTGGTCTGTTAGAATAAAGTGCCTCGCAAAATTTTAAAGAAAGAAAAACTTATATATGTACAAAAATAAGGGTTAATATGATGAAGGGTTGGACTATGACTGTAAAGATGAAAATTATAAAAGATTTTATAAAAGGAATTGATAAGTTGATTGAAAAAAGAAAGAAGAGGATTTAAAAAGAAAAAAAAAGGGAGAGAATGTGATCAGGTGGGAGACTAGAACAAAGCCATACACTAGAGATTTAGGGTATATTTGGTCTGTTAGAAGAAACTGTATCCCAAAAATTTTAAAGAGAGAACAACTTATATGTATATTTACCAAAAATAAGGGTAACTACTATGAAGGGATAGAATATGATCTAAAAAAGATAAATAAAAAAGACTTTTTAAAAAAGGGATTGATAAGATATTGGTTAAAAAAGGGAAAAAACAATTAAAAAAAAGACAGTTAAAAAAATTAACATTGAAAGACTAAAGAATCATGGGAAAAAAGTCATGAATTCTACGTGCAGTATTCCCCTAGCGCTCGAGTTCTGCCGTTCTCATTGATCAGTATACTTGGTCTTGCCTGGCTGTTCTCGCTGATCTTCTGGGGGAGGGGCCTGTTGCCGTGGTTCCCAAATGTCTTTGCCGGAGGCGGAATTGCCCTGCCCTTGCCAGTCCAGGCTAAGGAATCTGCTTGGGTTTGCTCTCGGGAGCTTTTGTTCCCTGCAAGCTTTCCGTACAGCTTTGGAGGACGAGAGTGAAAATGGTGGCCTCCCAATCTCCGCCCGGAGGAGCTGAGAAGTCGTGGCCCTGCTCCTCAGTGCGCCCCCAGAGAAAAGCAGTCACTCCCGTGTCCCCGGTCTCCGGCCGCACGCCGTGCTCACCCGGCCCGTGACCGAGCGTTTCTATCTCTGGCACCCGACCCTGTGTGGAGTCTCCAAACCCAGCAGATGCCTGCGGTGCGCTCCCGCGCCGCTCCTCCCAGGGGAGGAAGGGGAGTCTCCCCAGCTCTGCCTCTTGTTGGGTCCCTGCTGGAGGAGCAGTGGCCCAACTGTGTCGCTGATCACGGTTTATGGCAACCCCGAGCTGAGAGCCCGCGCCTCGGCTCCGTCTCTGCAGCCGGCTTCCCCGCTCCGATACCTGGGAGCTCTGCCGCACTCAGGCACCCCCGGTCTTTCTGTGACCCCGAGGGTCCTGAGACCACACTGTCCCGCGAGGGTTCCACCCCCCGCTTAGCCACTGGAGCGACGTCCCTCAGCGGAGCCGACTTCTAAAAGTTCCGATTTTGTGCTCCGCGGCTCCAGCACTTGCCAGAAGCAGCCGACGGAGGTCCCCTCCCCCGCCATCTATCCTCCCGAATATCGCCTCGGATTCACTTCTCTGCACGTCCTACCTTCCAGAAAATGGTTGCTTTTCTGTTCAGAGTTGTTGCTATTCTTTTCTTCGATCTCCTGTTGAGTTTGTAGGTGTTCAGAATGTTTTGATCCCTATGCAGCTGAATTCCTGGGACCAGACAAAATCCAGGTCTCCTACTCCTCCGCCATCTTGCTCCATCCCCTAGTAACTACTTCTTATAGGGACCCAACAAAGGGTCTTCTAGGTACTTTGCATTCTTCCTCATGCATTAGGCATTATTGGCTCCAATTTACAGAGAAAGCCGAGATTCCCTTTGGTTATATAACTATTGTGTTTTCAGAGTTAGCCAAAGTGAGATTCAGACGTAGACTGTTGAAATTCAGGGCCTTAGACTTTTTTTCCCATTAGAGTAGAATTGTTTTTCTAGTTATGGTTTTTTTTGAGTGCTAATTTCTACGTTGCTCTCAGTACATCATCCTATATGATGGAGGGCCAGATGTGAGATACTTTCTGTGTGGTCTTTAAGTAATTGTCAAGCCACTGGGATTAGATACTAGACTACTCTCTGAGGTACATTGCAGAGTGCCTCCTTTATATGTGCTTTCTTTTGAAATTTTTTAAAATTAAAATTCAAGCTGTATTGGTCTAGAATTCTTTAATATATGTCAAGTTTTCAGGCCCATTAAATAGGAATAAAACTTTAAGCAGCATTATCATTTTTTATTGCTAATTTTTTTTCTCTTTTTTTTATTATGTTATGTTAATCACCATACATTACATCATTAGTTTTTGATGTAGTGTTCCATGATTCATTGTTTGTGCATAATACCCAGTGCTCCATGCAGAACCTGCCCTCTTTAATACCCATCACCAGGCTAACCCATCCCCCCACCCCCCTCCCCTCTAGAATCCTTAGTTTGTTTTTCAGAGTCCATTATCTCTCATGGTTCGTCTCCGCCTCCGATTCTCCCCCTTCATTCTTCCCCTCCCTCCTCCTATCTTCTTTTTTTCAATTATTTGTTTCAGAGGTACAGATCTGTGATTCAGCAGTCTTGCACACTTCACAGCGCTCACCATAGCACATATCCTCCCCAATGTCTATCACCCAGCCACCCCATCCCTCCCACCCCCCACCACTCCAGCAACCCTCAGTTTGTTTCCAGAGATTAAGAATGCCTCATATCAGTGAGGTCATATGATACATGTCTTTCTCTGACTGACTTATTTCACTCAGCATAACACCCTCCAGTTCCATCCACGTCGTTGCAAATGGCAAGATCTCATTCCTTTTAATGGCTGCATAATATTCCATTGTATATACAGACCACATCTTCTTTATCCATTCATCTGTCGATGGACATCTGGGCTCTTTCCACAGTTTGGCTATCGTGGACATTGCTTCTTACTGCTAAATTTTTAAGTGCAGCTCCCCTAGAGTTAGTGTTCCACTCAGGTGGCCTACATTGTCACAGAGAAAACAGAGGAAGGACTAAGCAGGTGTCTTGGTAGGATCTGCTTCACTCTGCACTCTTGGATAGCCTGTCTGTGAAGTCAGATCTGTGTTTCTCAGGTATGCTAAGGGGTCAGTAGCTCCATAATTTCTCATCCTCTCTTTTTTTCTTCCCCAAAGTCTTTGGAGATAATCATCTTGTGCAGCTGATTTCCCTCCAGAATGCAGATGGTTCCTGGTATCTGGATGAAAATCTGGCTGGGATCCTAGGTAAAAGTTTGGAAGACTTACTGGCTGCAGTCCCTATCAAGGTAAGGGTCAGAGAAGAAAAAAGGAGGCTGCATGTTTTTGAGGGGTTGGGGTCAGTAATGAGATATGGGTGAATCATTATTTATCTGAGAAAGGAGAATAGAGGAGGCCATAAGCTAAATTAATTTCTAATAAACAGAGGTTGAAGGTTTTTCTTGGTATGAGAACAGAAAGAACCAGGAACTAATAACCTAGTTGGTGGGAGTTGATGGATGACAAAGGGAAAGCAAGCATCCTCTCTCACTTTATATTCCCTGCCCATCATCTATTATTTTTTGAGCAAGTACTCTATGCCAGACACTGTGCTAAGCACTTAACATCTACTTATTTATTCATCACCATAATTAAGTAAATCCTATTCATATTGTTGTTTATAGAGAACTATAATAATGTGTCTGAGGTTAGCCAGCCAATCTGTGGCAGACCTGGATTAAATTCTAGAACTGTCTCCAGGACCCACATTGCTTCTCTTCAAAACAAAGGATGTGGTCCACAAATTAGCAAAATTTCACTGAAGTCAGGTTAGGGGAAGTATTAATAAGAATGACCTAGTTATTTCGAATGTGTTTGAGTACACTGACGAGGACAGATTACATTCCACAATCTCAAGGTAACTAACCAAATCTTCTAATTGAGAAATTGTTAAATAAGGACAAAATGCCAAAAACCTGAAAGATGGGTGCCATTATGAATTTTCAAAATGTGAAAGGTGGTTAAATAAACCTCAGAGACCCTGTAACTGCATCATCCACTACAGTATCCACTAGTCATGTGGCTCTTGAGCACTTGAAATATGGCTAATGCAAATGAGAAGCCAAATTCTTAAGTGAATTAAAATGTGCTATAATTGTGAAACACATGCTGATTTCACTTGTGTGAAAACTTAATATAAAAAAAAAGGAATGTAAATATTCTCAATAATTATTTTTATATTGATTACATGTTAAAATGATATTTTGAATATATCAGGTTAAGTACAACATATTAGTAAAATAATTGTAACTGTTTATTTTTATATTTTTACATGTGGCTACTAGGACATTTAAGATTATATGTGTGTTTAGCATTATATATCTGTTGAAAAACACTATTCTAGAACAAATAATTAAAAGGATAATTTATCAACAAGTGGAAGAAGATACAAGAATCATGACATTCTAACTTGGTTTCATTGGGAAACCAATGACAGGTCAGACTAACATTTCCTTCTTTGATAATGGTAAAAGGGCCAATAAATCCAGGGAGTCAGGAACCCTGGTGTACCTGAATTTCAGTAAGGAATTTGAATTTTTTAAATGATGAGTGTATGGACTGAGAACAAATTCGTTTAAAATTCATTTCACTGAAACTTAGAACAGATTCTTAGAGCCACCTGGCTCTGAATTCTCTGGAGGTTTATATTTTCAATGATGATTCAGATCCCATGCTTTCCTGTTGGTAAATTTGCCAAAACTGGGAGATGGAGTATTGAGAAAATGGAGATCCCAAAAGACCTTGAACAATGAAAGACTTGCAATATTTTGTGAAAAAAATATACAACTTAATAGGAATCAAAATACTGTTTTTGGTTCTAAATCCTCAACTATATAAGTAGAGATTAGAAGCAAAATGACTTAAGAACTGTTGCACATGGAGATTTGAGGTAACCGCCAACTTCAGGGGTACCAGTAGATGTGATACATGATCAGTGGAAGGCAACAGGTTGTCAGGAGAGCTGTGCATGTTACATATTTTGGGCTGTGGTCATAGAAATTCATTAGTACACTGACCTCCAGATATGACTATTTAAGGAGATATATATATATTTTTAACATATAATGTATTATTTGTTTCAGAGGTACAGGTCTGTGATTCAACAGTCTTGCACAATTCACAGTACTCACTATAGCACATACCCTCCCCAATGTCTGTCACCCAGCCACCGCATCCCTCCCACCCCCCACCACTCCAGCAACCCTCAGTTTGTTTCCTGAGATTAAGAATTCCTCATATCAGTGAGGTCATATGATACATGTCTTTCTCTGATTGACTTATTTCGCTCAGCCTAACACTATTTAAGGAGATATATTTTAAAAACCACTCTGATGTTTGTTTCTAGACTAGATCAAGCATGGGGATTCTTACTGCTTTGACATGAACAGTCGTCTTAAAGAAAAATTAAAGGAATTGGGAATTTTTTAAAAAAGATTTATTTATTTATTTATTTATTTGGGAGAGAGAGAGAGAGAGCACACGTGCTTGTGTGCCCTAGCTCAAGCTGGGGGTGGGATGGGGCAGAGGGAGAGGGAGAAACAGACTCCTTGCTGAGCAGGGAGCCCAATGTGGGGTTCGATCCCAGAACCCTGCGATCATGACCTGAGCCAGAGGCAGATGCTTAATCTCCTGAGCCACCCAGGTGCCCCAGGAATTGAGATTTTTTTTTTTTGAAGATTTTATTTATTTATTTGACAGAGAGAGACAGTGAGAGAGGGAACACAAGCAGGCGGAGTGGGAGAAGGAGAAGCAGGCTTCCTGGCTGAGCAGGGAGCCCGATGTGGGGCTCTATCCCAGGACCCCGGGATCATGACCTGAGCCGAAGGCAGATGCTTAACCAACTGAGCCACCAGGCGCCCCAGGAGTTGAGAATTTTGATTGAAACAGGATTCCTCAGAGAAGACTTGATAGCTGTTTCCAAAGTTTAAAGGTCATGATATAAAAGAGCAATTTCTCTTGATCTGTTGACTCTAAAAACTAAAGTTGGGACCATAGGTGAAAACTCATGGGAGACCGTTTTCCATTCTGTGGCAGAGACTCTCTCTTAAGTGACATGAGCAGGATGACTCGAATCAGAATATTGGGCCTCCAGTCCCAACTATGTCATTTGTTAGAAGGCTAACTTTGGGCAAATCATTTCACTTTTGTGTGAATCAGTTTTCTCTCTTAAAAATGTCATTATTGATAATTCCTCTTGTTTTGTTTGGCAAAGATTCAAATGAAAATACATTATAAAATACAAAGCAATTATGCACGTGTTTCTCTTCTCATAGCTTAGTCATCCTTGCTGGGGATGTTGTAGGAGCTTTAAGCACTGTCCTGATGGTTATGCTGGATTTGAAACTTAAGACTTTTCTACCTTAAGACTCAGGGGATTATTGCCCTGACATTCAGGGCCTGGCATTATACACAGGTCATGACATTTAATAGCAGGTTGGGCCAAAGTGAGTGAGGAGGGAGCGGAGCTGTTTGCATCCCCTTGAGGGGCTTCCAGCTCCAACTTGGAGGCTTCAGGGAGGTCTTTGTCTATTGTACAGGATGCAAATTCCTCAAGCTGGGCCACAGTCCTGGCAGTGGTCTGGCTGCATTCCAATGCTAAGCAGATGAAGGGTGAGTGGGAACTTCTGGAAAAGAAGGCCAGAACCTGGATTCACATCCATGCAGGTAGGAGTTCAACGCTAAGACCCCCTCCCCTTCCTTCCTTAGGAAGCTAGTCATCTTCCCTGGCGCAGAGCCTCCAGGCCTGCTAGAAGGTGACTGGGGAGCAGTTCTCATAGTCCCCTCCCCTGACTGTTCTGGTTCAGACCTTTTCTGGTCTCCCGGCTAATCCTCTCCTTGGTAGGATGAGGGTGCAATCTTAAATTGGGGGAGAGGAGAGGTGAGTGAAGAGGGAAAGAAAGGGACATAGATGGGGACTGTGAATTGTGAGAAGGACATGAAGTGGCATTTGTTCTCCTCACTGTCTCAGCACCATGCTGAGTATAGGGTTGGACAGGCGCTCTCACTCCTGGGGGGTTTATTATCTCACTGCTGTTGAGTATTTCCGGGGCCGGAGAAGATGAAAGGGACTCTGGGCAGTAAAAAGACTGAAGTCAGGGGTGTTGAAGAAAGACAGGAGCCAGGAGTCAGGGTAGCTGATCAGGCATGTGTATGGTGAGTCTGGGGGGAAGAGTATTTACTCTTACCATGGTTCTTCAGCCCTAATTCTTGTTTTCTCCTCATGACAGCCTCCATCGTGCAAGAGCTTGTGAAAGCTGCTATTGTTTTCACCAAGTCATCCGTGGACCCCGCCATCTTTGCCCTCTGAGGAAACTGTCCAGAAAAACAAGTGTCTCTCCCATGCTACTGCTCTTTGCTTTATGCTTTTCTGCTGTGGTATTATTGTTGTATTTTACCCTGATCCTATCAGTTTCTTGCCGTCAGAGTGAAGGATGCGCACATCCCACCTTGCCTCTCTGTTCCAGGTTCTTTGGGTAGGATGATCCACCTTCCCCAGCATGTACCCTCAGCCCAGCATCAGTGGTCCCAGAACCTGTTCCAAGAAGGAGGGATTTCAAGCGTTCTTAGGCAGTAACATTCCTCCCAGGTTTTCCGGAGTGACCACATGACAAACAGGTGGCGTGTCCGCCACATTCAAGGGTACAGCACTGATGTTAGGGATGCCTGAATAAGAGAATGCTGTGCATTATATTTATCTATTCCCTTTGATCTTACATACTTATCAGGACCAGACAGTGAGCTATCCAATCTTCTATTCTAAGATAGGATGGAGAATTGGAGGGGAGGTTGAAAGCCAATACTGGGATCAATATAACCTCAAGATCACGAAGAGAGAGACTCCAGGGGTCCACTGTGAGAGATGGCACTGCTGGCGGCCTTCTTGGTTGATTCTATTTGGATTTTGCTAGCCAACATGGCATGCCTTCCCTCTCACTGCCTAAGGGACTGGATTGAATCATCATTGTTGGAGACAAATGTCTCCAACAATTCTCCTGAATTGTTTAACATCTCAGTGAGAAGGTGATAATGAAATCTTCAGTCCTGGCCTGAACCCATGAGGCCTCTAAGCGGGCTCTGATCTGTAATAAAGATACGGGGACAGGACGTGGTGTGGGATTAAAAAAAGTGGGTTTAAAGGCAGCTTTGCCTGAGACCTGAGCCTGGATCACTCAGCCCGTGAGGAAGAAAGGAACTCCCCATGATTGTTTCTGAGCTTTGTCCTACATACTCTATCCTAGTGGAATAACCTGTTTGATGTCCCCCCAAATACTATTGTATTAATATTAAAATGATTATATCTGCACTGCATTTTCTTGTATCTGATCTTTTGTACATTTTAAACCTGCATTGGTTTTATTATCCCTTATATTCCCTCCCAGCTTTGCTGATGCCTACACTGTTCACACCGTGTCCTGCCCCGTATCTTCTGTTGTAGGCTGATTTCCTATCTTACATGAGGCAAGTAAAGGACACTGATCAGAAAAGCACCATTAGAATCCTGACAGTACACTTAAATAGTTACATGATAATGGACAAATGATTTAACCCCCCGGGAGCTTAGTGTCCCTATCTGTAAAAGTGGGATTACACTAGAACTCCATTATCACTTTCATCTTGAATACTTAAGAATTCTGAGCGGGACCTCAGTATCTGTTCACTCAGGTAGAGAATGGCCTAGACCTGAGTTCTGTTGAACATTAGGGAAATTAGCCTGACTGGTATGGTGGAGACTGATTTCCCAGGACTTTGTTCCAAGTCTGTTGATAGCTGAGTGTGACCTGTGGAATAGGGCTGTGACATCACCTGGAAGCTTGCTAGAAATGCAGTCTTAGGCAACCCCAAAAACTAATGTATCAAACAAAGTCTGCCTTTTAACAAGGTCTCCAGGTAATTCACATGCACATTAAAGTTTGAGGGCTCAGTCTTTAGGCTTGTATCCATGGCTGCCCTCTGGATAGGTCCTATCCATGCTATGACAAGAGACAGTTTCTTAAAGACCATGCAAGTTGTAGAACTATCCTGTGCTCACAAAGAGATGGCCCTTTACATTGATTATATGGATCATTTTTAAAAATGATTTTGTCTATTTATTTGACAGAGAGATAGAGCCAGAGAGCATAAGCAGAGGGAATGGCAGAGGGAGAGGGAGAAGTAGGCTCCCCACGGAGCAGGGAGCCAGACTCGAGGTCCGATCCCAGGGATCTGGGATCATGACCCGAGCCGAAGGCAGACGCCCAACTATCCAAGCCGCCCAGGCACCCTATACGGATCATTTTTTATTACATTTATCGTCCCTTCCCTTTTTCTTACCTTCAGCTTGCAGACTAGGCTAGGGCTTGGGGACTTCTACAGCAAAAAACAAAACAAAAAATAACAGCAGCAAAAGCAACCTTCCATTTGTCTTCTTTAAAAATGCAGAACCAACTATGGTCTTAAAGTAGCATGATTTTGTATTTCCATTCGGGCTCACGCGATAAAATGTTGTGCCAACTGTAAACTCCTCACATTTAAACAAGCGTCGGTCTTCATCATCAACAAGTATGTTTTGCCACATTTATTGAAGCCCACTTTCAAGGCTGGTGCCTCATGTTTTCGGAAAATGGAAAGCACCATCTGTACTTTCAGGAACTGATGCTCCGGGCAAGGAGCCCAGGAGAGAAGCTGAGCTCAGCTCCCATTGGTCGTCCACACCCTGCAGCTATTTCCTGGCCGCAGAGATTTGGCCAGGAGGCAGATGGCAGATAACACTGCCTCCAGATTCTCCCATCACACTGAGCCCAGTACCTCCAGTGCAGGGGGCCCTGCTGCACACAGACTTACTAAGGAAGCCTAGTGCGCATCGTCCCCAGTTCCAGCATGGTCACCCTGGGGATCATTTAGCATGTGCTGTTCTTCTCCCAGCTCAGCCGTCGCTTCCTTAAAAACAGACCATGTGTTTCTAGTACCTGATTGGCCAGAAGAAAACCAAGAAAAACCTCATGCAATGAGCTAACTCCATGCATTGATTCTCCTTTAGGCTTCATTGGTTTTCGCCTCACGTATTGTGATGTTCTCTTGTTAGGTGTAAATACGTTTAGGATTATTAGATCTTCTTGGAGAATTCACCCTTTTATCATTATGTAATACCTAGATCTCTAATGGTTTTCCTTCTTCTGAAATCTGCTTTGTCTGAAATGAGTACAGTCACTCCAGCTTTCTTTTGATTAGCATTAGCATGGTATATGTTTCCCTATCCCTTTACGTTTAACCTACATATGTCTTTATATTCAAAGTAGGCTTCCTGTAGACAGCATATACTTGGGTCTTTTTTTGTTTTTGTTTTTTTTAATCCGCTCTGACAATCTCTGATGTACTTATTCATATTTAAAGCAATTATTAATGTAATTGGATTTATATCTACCATGTTTAACTGTTTACTATTTGTTGCATTTGCTTTTTTCCTCCATCTTATTTTGCCTTCTCTGGTTTGAATCAAGCATTTTATGGGATTTCCTTTTATCTCCGCGCTTAACCTATCAATTATATTTCTTAATTTGTTTAATTGCTGCCCTAGCATTTGCAATATACATTTGAAACTATCCTGAAGTCCATTTTCAGATAGCACTAAACCACTTTATGTGTAGTGCAGGCACCTTATATGACAGAGTTTTCCTAATTCTCTCTCCCACCCACCCATTGTGGCATTGCTGACATTCATTTCCCTTACCTATGTATTATGATTTCCCAATGCTCTGTTATTATTACTGCTTTAAAATTTATCTTTTAAATCAGTTAAGAACGAGAAAAGATTTGTTTCACT